TCCAACAATGGACAAAACTAGCCACTGTTGCCCCTTTGGCTATGGGACAGTTGTTCATGATTGATCTTGCAATACTTATACAGCATGGCCAACAGGCATGCACATCATTGTTCTTTCACACAAAGGGACAAAATTACCAGTCACAGGTAATCCCGACTCAACATATTTCTTCTATATTTTATGTGTTAGTAGGTATCTTCGACCAACAATTCTTGGCTCGGGACAACAATATCGCAACACATGTCCACACTATCATTCCTCGTTTTGGTGTAACGCTAGCTATACACAGCAACATTATACAACTGCTCGCCATGGCCAATGGATAAAAAGGTGCAGCAATGTTAATCCTCGTCATCCCCTTTAATACATAAGGGAGTACCCTTCTTTGCTACATGTATTCATACATTTTACACTTAAATATTTGAACAAGTACTCATTTATATCTTCCTCTTATTGCAGATGAACACAAGCCCATGAATCCAAGCTCATGAATCCAAGCTTATGGGAATTATTCGGGATAAACTATGGGAGTAGTGGCTTGGTAAGCATGGATGAATGAATGTTGCCCATCTAGCAAAAGTGAGGTATTCATGCTAGCCAAGCTTGGAGATGATGATGTTGCCCGACTTCGCTAGAAAGGGTTAGGTGGCGAAGATATGGAAAAGAACTTGATCCCCAAAACTGTACTATTTGATACTAACTAGAAGCATGAAATCTATTTAAAACTAACCAGAGATATTGTTTTGGTCACCATTAGCAACTTGCAGCTATATTCAATGCAAAGGTGGCTACACAAGTTCCACCACATTGGAAATTGTTAAAACAAGATCACATTTTGTTTGGGATATCCACCAAAATCCTGGGCAAACCTTGGAGAATCTACCAAAATCTTGTGTAGGTTTTATTTTTGCCAGCTACAATCAAGTTCCCTCCCAAAAATGAAATTTCGTATAGTAGGAAAATTACTAGAAATGGGCAATCTCCAATCCTTTGTTGGAACCAACGATGCTTCATTGGAACCACTGGGTCATTCACAATATCACTACCAAAAAGCTATCAACAATGCCTAAAATCACCCAAAACTTGACAGGTCACCCACATCTAGCCGTTAGGTTGTTGGGCTGCTCTGACCCATCAACCCAAAAATTACAAAAATGCTAGTGCACATATATATATATATATATATTATTTTTTCCACATTTTTTTAGATTAGAGGAAACCAGACTAGATCTTCACAATTCTAGCTTCCCTCTCATGCACTGGAGCTTCATCCTTCCTCTAAAAAACATTTCATCCTCAATCACCCACTCTACACACCAAAATCACTCAAAATCACCATTTTCTTCATATTTTCTACACTTCCAACACTATATGATAATTTTCCAAACTTGCAGAATACCATGGCTAGAGGCGGTATACTTCAATTTCAGCTTTTAGGTAATTTTTCTTAAGCCTCAAAAGGTGAAGTTGAGTAGTTAGCATCAAGAAACAGGATCAAGCCACTCCACTCATAAGTCCCCAAATGGTCATCCCTCATTTTCCCATTACTTTCAAGTTTATTCCATTTGTTCTTGAGAAAGCTTCAAAGGAGGGGTTGCTGTATTGTACGTTTATAACATGAGGGTTGTTCGTTATAAAGTAAGAGTGTTTGTTAGGAATAATAGGGAGTACATATATTGTCATTATTATTATGTTACAATATTTTATGTATAAATGTGCTTCTTAAGTTGTAATATTTGATCTTCATATATTCACCATCCTTAATGCTCCCATCACAATGTACATCTTCTTTGCATGTGTTTTGGTAGTTGTGTAATCATTCCCAACTCTTGGAATCCCATCGCTCATGCTCAGCTCTCTCCTTCTTGGCTTGGTTAGAAAGTTTAGACTTTTAGGCTTTGTTGGAAAATGTACTGTTGGTCAACATCGCTGGATAAGACAAAATGACCCATGGCACCTAGCTGCTCGCATGTGAAATGGGTGCTGCCAAAAGAATGCTCCTCATCATTCTGGGTATTATCCTAGTCAGCTTTCACTTCATCTCTGCTATTGACTCATCATCTTACATCACCAACATAGTCCAACAGAGTGTTTTGCATCAATTTTATCTCCTAACTCTAAATTTTTATATTAAATTTGTCCCTCTGTCAACTTTCATCCAACTCCACTCAGTTAAACTAATGAGCAATTTCCATGTCATAAAATTTGAATGATTTGGCAATCACACCTAGGGAGAAAAAAAAAGAAGCCATAGTTGGACAACTCTAGGTGTTGACACTTTATTTTAAAATTTCAAGGTTGAAAACCCAACCCAAAGTTATTAAGGGTATTGTCAATAAGAGGTGTTGATACTTGCAAGATAGTATCTACACCTACACTTGGGCACTACAATTTCTTTCAACAAGAGGAAAACACATTCAGAGAGTATTTGGCCAAAGATAGCAAATATTGGAAAATAGTAGCTAATAATATTAGATAATACTGAATAATTTAATAGGCTATAACATATTATAAATTAATTAAATAGTAATGGCATAAGATATTTAATATTTTATCTAAAACATTATTTGAGTTTAAAAGTATTATATAATTATTATGATAACAAAAAATTTCAAATGAAATCATGCACAACAAATATAAATTGTATCTAAAAAACCAATTATATGGCAATTATATGTACAAAAAAAATAGAGAATACTATCTAAATTATTAAGAAATTATATTTAATAACTATACTTAAAAAATTTATATGGTAGTCATGTGACTGACAATACTATAAATAATTATACTTAATCTAATTAATAGTTTACTTCTCTAGTTTAATTTCCAATCCCAATATTCACCATCAATGTGCTACATGCCTCTAATACTGTTTAGAAGAAACTACTCCCCACATGCACATATAATAGGAAGTTT